GCATTTCTAAAAAGTTCCCAGATGATGCTGAAGCTACTGGTCTGGGGAGCACACTTCTTCAACTTCTGCTGTGACTCATAATTGTTTTCATAATTTCCCAATGGAGAGAGAAGGGTCATGATTACCTGCCAACAGATTGTGGGATTGTACAAGGGATCTAAGAGTTAATGATCTAAGGTCATTAACACTTCATAATAATAGCCAACACCCACTGAATTTTATGATGTGCTAGACGCTGGACTGGGCACTTTCCATGCATTATCTCATCTAATCCTCACACCAATCTTGGGGAATACTTTTGTTTTTCCCAGTTTACACTGAGGAAGTGGGGATTTGAAGAGATTGGGGAGCTTGGTCCAATTTATGTACCAGCAAGCAGTAGCTGTGAGGTTCAAGTCAAGACTACTTGAACTCCACAGCCCTGTTTACTATGACGCTATGGACTCCGCACATAGTAAATGCTCAGTAAATAAATAGTTAAATAAATGAACAAATGAATCTACTTTTTTTATATCAAAAGCGTAGCTACTCAATGGAAGACCTTTTGACATTTTAAAAGCGTGATTTGCTAGGTTATAAAGCAGGGAGGAAGACGATATGGTGCTTTACAGGGAAAATTATTGGAGAAATTTCAAGGCAGAAGGAATTTTTTACAAACACAGTGGTGCAGAAGAGATTCCTGCCAGCAGTGGTGGCTGGGGATGCTGAAGGTAAAAAAAAAAAAAAAAAAGAACTCGGCAACATTAAATTCTTTCTGACAGCATTGCTCTGGGAAGGCTACTTCCACTTGCCAGCACTGAAACAGAATTCACATATCATAAAATTAACCCATGTGAAGTGTACAGTTCGGTGCTTTTTAGTATATTCACAGAGTTGTGCAACCATCACCTCAATCTGATTTTAGAACATTTTCATCGCCCCGAAAAGACATCCTGTCCACATTAGCAGTCACTCACCATCCGTCCTCCCCCAGCTCTAGACAACAGCTAATCTACTTCTGTCTCTACAGAATAGATTTGCTGTTCTGCACAGTTCACGTAAATGGAATCATACAATGTGTGGCCTTTTGTGACTGGCTTTTTTCACTTAGCAGAATGTTTTCAATGTTCATCCACATTGTAGCGTGTGTGAGTGCTTCATTCCTTATCCTCCCCGGCCCCCCAGCACTTCATTGAGGTATAATTTACCTAAAGGAAATGCACAAATATTAAGTGTACAGATCCACGACTTTGTACATGTGCATGTACTCAAGTGACCTCCACTGAGAACAAGATATAGCACATTTTTATCACTCCTGGGAATTTCCTTAGGTATTTTTTTAAAAATGTTGGTAAAGTACACATAACATGAAATCTATCTTAACCATTTTTAAGTGTGCAGTTCAGTAGTGTGAAGTATAGACACATTATTGGGCAACGAATCTCCAGAACTTTCCATCTTGCAAAACTGAAACTCTGTATTCATTAAGTGATTTCCCAGGCCCCCTTCTCCCAGCCCCTGGCAACCATCTCTACTTTTCTGTTTCTGTGAGTTTGGAGTCTAGATACCTTATGCAAGTGAAATCATATATGATTTATCTTTTTGTGACTGCCTTATTTCACGTAGCTTAATGTTCTCAAGGTTCATCCATGTTGTAGCCTGTGTCAGAATTTTCCTTTTTAAGGCTGTATTAATATTACATTATATGTATCATACCACATTTTGTTTATCCAATCATGCGTGGATGGACATTTGGGTTACTTCCGCCTTTTGGCTTGTGTGAATAGTGCTGCTATGAACATGGGTCTGCAAATATCTCTTTGAGACCTTCTTTTGGGTATGTACTCAGAAGTGGAATTGCTGGATCATATGGTAATTCTATTTTTAAGTTTTTGAGGAACCTCCATACTGTTTTCCGTAATGGCTGCAGCATTTTACATTCCCGCCATCAGCAGTGCACAAGGGTTCCAGCTTTTCCACATCCTTGCCAACACTTGTTATTTTTGTTTTGTTTTGTTTTGTTTAATAGAGACCATCCTAATCGGTGTGAGGAGATATCTCATTGTTTTAATTTGCATTCCCCTAATGATTAGTGATGTTAAAAGGCATCTTTTCCTGTGCTTATTGGCACTTGTATATCTCTTTGGGAGAAATGTCTATTTAAGTCCTTGGCCATTATTTTTTAATAGCAGCTTTATTGAAATATAATTCACATACCATGTAATTCACCCACTTAAAGTGTACAATTCAAAGATGTTTTTTGTATATTCACAGAGTTATCACCATAATCAACTTCAGAACATTTTCATCACCCCAAAAAGAAAGCCCATACCCTCTGGCTGGCACACCCCAGCCTTATGCTTCTGGTATGTCTTTTAGCCTTAGGCAACCATTAGTCTACTTTCTGTCTCTATGGATTTGCCTATCTCTGGATATTCTGGACATTTTGTAGAAATAGAGTCATACAGTATGAGGTCTTCTGTGACTGGCTTCATTGCCTTGGCACCACTTCACCATGAGAGCTGTGACAACATGTGAGAAATACTGTCTATGAGGGCAGTTCATTAAAGACTGTGTGTGAAAGGTATTTATTGGGGGCTGGTCATGCAGAGACCCTCTGCCTAGCACATTCCAAAATTCCAGACTCCCAGGAGAAAAGCCAACATTCACTATAAACCCTGGTGCTTGCACAAACCATTAAGGCATAGTTGGGGTGGTGGTCACCCTCCCCAAATCAAGTTCCCAGAACCTAGCCAGGGACCAGCCTTGCAGGCAGGGTTTTCAAATGGCAGCATTCTCAGGCCCGCTGCTGTTAATTCTTTCCTGCACAGATTTTCACAGGGACTGTGCTGATTCTGTCAATTAATTGGAGATGTTAGATGGAGGATATTGCCATCTTAACAACACTAAGTATTACAATTGATGAACATGGGATGTCTTTGCATTGATTTAGGTCTTTCATTCCTCTCAGTGGTGTTTTATAGTTTCCAGGGTACAAGTCTTCTACTGATTTTGTTAAATCTATTTCTGAGTATTTTATTCCTTTTGATGACATTCTAAGTGGAATTGTTTTCTTAATTTCATTTTGAGATTATTCCTTGCAAGTGTGTATTGCAATTGGTTTTTGTGGATTGATCTTGTGCCCTGCAATCTCAAGCTTGTTTATTAGCTCTAATAATTTTTTTGTGTGGATTGTTTAGCCTGTTACTGTGATGGATTACATAGACTGCTTTTTTTGAACCAGACTTGCATCCCTAGAATAAAACCCCAGTTGGTCAAGGTGTGTAATTTAACTCATGTTCTGCTAAATTCTATTTATTAATGTCTTGCTAAGGAGTTTCCATCTATTTTTACTTTGCCCGTTTTTTAAATCAGGTTATTTTTATTCTTATTTTGTTGTTACTGCATCGTAGGAGTTCTTTATATATTGTAGATATTAACCCCTTAACAGATAAGATTTGCAAACATTTTCTCTCATTCTGTAGGTTGCCTTTTCACTCTGTTAATTGTAGTTTTTGATGTACAAGTTTTAAATTTTGATGTAGTTTATCTATTTTTTCTTTATCTATTTTCTTTTGTTGCCCAGCTTTTGAAGAGCTCATTGTCAAATCCAATGACACAAAGCTTTCTTCTAAGACTTTTAAGAGTTTAGACTTAAGAATTCTAAGGTTGAGGTCTTTGATCCATTTTGAGTTAGTTTTTGTGTTACTATACGGTATAAAGATCCAACTTCGTGCTTGTGCATGTGGGTATCCAATTTTCCCAACACCATTGGTTGAAAAGACTGTCCATTCCCCAATAAATGACCTTGACACCCCATCATTTGACCCTATAGGTGAGATTTTATTTCTGCACTGTCTATCCTATTCCTTCATTGCTTTTACCACTGAATGCTATCCCATTGTATGATATACCGTATTTTATTTAGGGCAAGCCTAATAATTTTCCTTCGTCTTTAATCTCTAGGTGTTGTGACGTCTGTGATTTATGGATGACTGAGCCCCTGCCCTGGAGTGTCCCTTTGATCATTAGAACATTGTACCCTCTGAAAATAGGGTCTGTTTTGTTTGTTTGCTTTGCTTTTCGTTTGTTTGTTGTATCCTTGTCCATTCTCCCTTGTGATTTTGAACTTCAGTGTGGAGAAAACCAGGTCCGCCTACCATGGAGACAGCTGGCAATATATTCCTGGGAAGGACAGGCTCCGTCGCTGAGTTTTCTGCCTATGACTATTACAAACCTCTAATCAAACCTGAAGTAATTGGCTTTGTAATCCACATTGCAAATATTCTCAGCAATACCCTGCATATCTGCAGAAGGCTTTCTTATTTTCAAAATAGACTGATTTTTTGTCTTATTACTCCTCCCACCCCAACCCCTGTGCGAAGTGTCTCACACACAAACTTCACTTTTGCTGGAGGAAAGGAGAATACCAGCTAACATTTTTTGAGTGCTTCTTAAGTGCTTTTTGTCACGCGCATTATCTCATGATCTCCTCTAATAGCTCCTTCGCACGCAGCAACCCTCCCACGTCAGTACTGTTATTTACAGAGGGGGAAACTGAGGCTCCGAGGAGTTAAGTAACTTGGCCAAGGTCACAGCGCCGTTAAGTTTAGGAGCCCAGGAATGAGCAAAGTGCATATAGCCCAGGGACTGTCCATTTTACTGAGGGTCAGATGCCTCAGGGTCCTGGCGACAAATTGGCCTGGGAGCTCCGCACATCTCCCTCCACATATCTTCCTCCACGTACAACGCACAGTCTGAGGCTGGAAAGCTCGCGCGCAGAAAGGAAAAAGTTGTGTGCTTTTCACCGGCTTTCTCTGGCTCGCGTGGGACATTCCGCCCCCGTCTCCATGGAAACCGGCGTGGGTCGCAGCCGTCGTCAAGGGCGGGGCTCGCGGCCGCAGCTCCTCCCCCGGTTTGCAAAAGCTCCCAGGGGGGAGCGGAGCAGTCACTGTCACCCCGTAACCTCTCTATTCCTCTTCTCGACTGCCCTCCCTTTCCGTTGTTCTTTTGTGCCCCAGACCACATCCTGGAGGCCGCTCTTCTGCACCGTCCTCGGCTGGGACTGCGCGCCCGGCGTCCCGGCTGGAGAGCCGCCTCGCGCGGCCTCCCTCTCCCCGCGGGCCCACCCCTCCGCTGCGCCGATTGGCCGCTCCTGGGCCATCCCCGCGCCGTGCAGGATCCTCTGCCCAGCGGAAAGTTTTCCGTGTCGGAAGGAAGTTGGACCTTTGGAGACTCCGAGGCAGCAGCTTCTGAGGCTGCAGGGGTCCGGGCGGCCATGGAAGAGCCCCCTTTGCGAGAGGACGAAGAGGAGGAGGAAGAAGAAGAGGGGGAGGACGGTGACGAGGCTGGGCCCGAGGGGGCTCTGAGGAAGAGCCCCTTCCAGCTGACCGTGGAGGACGTGTATGACATCTCCTACGTGGTGGGCCGCGAGCTGATGGCCCTGGGCAGCGACCCGCGGGTGACGCAGCTGCAGTTCAAAATCGTCCGCGTCCTGGAGATGCTGGAGACGCTGGTGAATGAGGGCAACCTCGCGGTGGAGGAGCTGAGAATGGAGCGGGACAACCTCAGGAAGGAGGTGGAGAGGCTGCGGGGAGAGGGCTCGGCGCCCACCCGAGAGGTGAGTGCGGGACGAGGGGGCTCGTCCTGGAGCAGCCGCTGGAGATGCTCGGGGGAGCGCCCACTGGGAGGGAGGCCCCTTTCCTCTCCCCAACATCCAAGCCTCTCGAAACAAATCACTGCAAGAATCCAGTTCTCAGATCGGAAGCATTAGGACAGTTAACATTTATTGAGCATTTACTAGGTGCTGGGCCACGTGCTGAATATGTTCTAAATCTGTGGCTGCCAGCGCTTTTGACCATGACCTCGAGCCATGCTTCTGAAGCTTTACTATGCATCACAATCACATGGAATGTTTGTTAAAACACAGATTCCCTGGCCTCGACCCCAGAGCTTCTGGTTCAGTAGTTCTGGACTGGGACCTGAGAATGTGCTTCTAACAAGTTTCCAGGTGAGGCATCACACTTTGAGAATCTTTGACCTAGGTTAGGAAATAAAACTTAACGAAAGAGGAATTAGTGTTTCTGACCACAAAAAGACAGCGTGCAAGAGTAATCAGAGCAGCTGTGTCCATAATTGCTTCAAACTGGAAACAGTCCACATGCAAGAGAGGAATGGATGGATTTTTAAATTTGTGGTATTCAGTGGGATACTACACAGCTGTGAAAAAGAACACAACTGCGTGTACGACGCTCACAGGTGTCACACTGAGAGACAGAAGGCAGGCACCAAAGAGCCTACCTACTGTGTGTGAAATTCAAGAACAGGCAAAATAATCTTTACTTACAGAAGACAAATTGATGGAACCCCAGGAAGGGGATAGTGGGAGGGAGCAGGAGGGAAATTTATAGTTGCTACATGGAGATATAGATAGATAGATAGATAGATAGATAGATAGATATAGATACATAGATATATATATATGGTAAAAAGCACCAAGTTGTAAACTCCAAATTAGCACATTAGTGTATGTATGTTGTATCTCCATTTTACAAAATTACATTTCAAGAAACAATGTACTGCAACTCGCACTCTTACTAAATATAATGCACAGACATACTGTCCTGTTCTATTTTTATGAGTTTTTAAATTCTTGTTGCAACTCACTAAACTACTATCATGACTCAGTAGTAGGTCTCCAGCCACAGTTAAAAGAAATAATCTGTCCTGAGTGGACTCTCTCATGTAATCTTCACACTATATTATACCCATTTGACTGAAATGGAAGCATAGAACAGTTAGGTAATTTACCTAAGGACTTAAAGCAAGTAAAAAGTGGAGGCAGGATTTGAGCTCACACGTGCTAGTCTTAACCACACCACAACAAAATAGACCTTTGACTTCTCTTGTTATTCTAACATTTGAAGAGTGACTGCACTGTGCTGGGCTCTGGGGCTATGGAAGTAAGTCAGACAAGGTCCCTGCCTTCTTTGAACTCACTCTAGCTGGGGAGATAAGACACACAGACATCCAGAACTCGAATACAAGATTACAAACTGAGGCGTACACCATGAAAGCCCAGCAGGAACGGGGCGCCGAAATTCACAGGGAAGACTCAAGGTTTCTGGTAGCTTCCTTGGTACACTTGTATCTCACCTCCTGATTAGTCATGGTGACAAGTGTATTTGTCGTTAAGGTTCTCCTTTTGTAGTCATCCTATGAGATGGTTGAATGTCTTGATGAGTAAGGAGCCTGGCTTTAGAGACTCAAGGGCAGTTAAATGACTTGCCCAGGATCCCTCAGCCTACATCCTGTGCTCTTTTCCTGTCACCTCCAGGCACAAGGATATGGAGGAAGCCCACCGTGGACCGTGAACAGTGTGGTGTGCACAGGGGCCGGTGATTTCCTGTGTGGGGCACAGTGGGCAGGCTTCACCAGCCAGTACATGAGATGCCACCTTTGCCCCCCAAACTGCAGTCTTAAGTATGGGGATGGGGAAAAGACAGAGAATGAGAAGTCAGAGCGAGTGCCACTACAGTTCATAAAAACATGCCTCTTTTTCTTTTTTTAATTGTTATTTTTAATTGTGATAAGGTACACATAAAATTTACCACCTTAACCACTTTTGTCCCATCTTAACCATTTTTAAGTTCAGTGGCATCACGTACATTCACATGGTTGTGCAACCGTCACCACCTTCCTCTCCAAAACTCTCTTCATCTTGCAAAACTGAAGCTCTTTCCCATGAAGCAACCACCCCTCACTGCTCCCTTCCCCCCAGCCTTTGGTAACTACTGGTCTAATTTCTATCTCTATGAATGTGTCTATTTTAGGTACTTCCTATAAGTAGAGTCGTGTAATATTTTACCTTTTGTGAGTGGCTTCTTTCACTTGGCATAATGTTCTCAAGGTTCAGCAATGTGGTAGCATATGTTAGAATGTCCTTACTATTAAAGGCTTAATACTCCATGGTATGACTAAACTACATTTTGTTTATCCATCATTTGTTGATGGACGCTTGGGTTGCTTCCTCCTTTTGGCTGGTGTGAATAATGCTGCTATGAAATGTATGTATAAAAATCTCTTCAAGTCCCTGCTTTCGATGCTTTTGGGTATATACTCAGAATCGGAATTGCTGGATCATATAATGATTTTATTTTTAATTTTTTAAGGGTCTGCCATACAGTTTTCCATAGTGACTGCACCATTTTATGTTCCCACCAGCAGTGCACAAGAATTCCAGTTTTTTCACATCCTTGCCAACGCTTGTTATTTTTTTTTTTAATAGTGACCATCCTAATGGGTGTGACGTAGTTCTTTCTTTTTTTAAAACTTTAAGTTCAAATTTTAAAACATACAAAAGTGGGCCGGCCGAGTGGCTCAGTTGGTTAAGAGCTTGCTCAAGAGTGCGAGCTCTGAGCAACAGGGTTGCCGGTTCGATTCCCGGCCCAAGCTGAGCTGCTGCTAAGCTGCCAACAGGTGGCAGGATGGCTCAGCTAAAAAATAAAAAATAAATAAAAAAGGTACGAAAGTATTTGCCTTGAAAAAACTCCCTCTGCATCTCTGTCTACATTTTCCCTCCCTGGAAAAAATTTAAATGCTCAGTTTCTTGTGTATCCTTTCAGAAATACTTTATGCAGACACAAGCAGATGTGAATGTATTTTTCCATTTCTTTACACAAATGGTATTATAATATATACTCTGCCTCTCGCTTATTTTCACTTAACATAGCATGAAAGTTGTACTAAGTCGGAATATAAACAGCTTCCTCATCTTTTAATGGCTTTTCAAAACTTCTGTTGTAGAATATTATCAATTGATCAACCTGAGGGTTCTTGAGTTTTCAGGACCCTCCCCACCCCATCAAGGGGATCATGATTCTAATCCAAGAGGTCCATGAACTTGCATGGGAAGAAATTATATTTTTATTTTCACTGACCTCTAACTGAAATGCATCACTTCCTCAATTATGACTATAAACAGCAAACCACAGTGATATGAGCAGTACCTGTGATACTCACCCATGGAAATCACAGATATTTTCATGTCCCATTGCAATGTACTGCAGTACACATGTCAAAACTTTGTTTTGCTTCAGCATTTTATTACACCTATGTTACTTAATAAAGAAGAAGGTGTATTAATCATAAATTTGTTTTTAGAAGATTTTGATGAGCAGATGCCATCTAAGTTGGTTTCCTTGTAATCCTGTGCCTTTAATTTTATACATTTAAAAACATTGTTCTACAAATAGACTTAGAGGGTATTATGCTAAGTGACGTAAGTCAGAGAAAGGCAAATACTATATGATCTCACTTATGTGTGGAATCTAAAGAACAAAATAAACAAACAAAACAGACTCATAGATACAGAGAACCAACTGATGGTTGCCAGATGGGAGGGGTTTGGGGGGCTGGGTGAAAAAGGGGAAGGGATTAAGAAGTACACTTTAGCAGTTACAAAAGAGTCATGGGGATGTGAGCTATAGCATAGGGAATATAGTCAGGAATATAGTCAGTAATATTGTAATAAATATGGATGGTGCCAGGTGGGCACTAGACTTACCGAGGGAATCGCTTTGTCATTTATATAAATGTCTAACCACTATACTGTACACCTGAAATGAATGTAATATTGAATGTCAACTGTAATTGAAAAAAAAACACAACATTGTTCTGAGAAGGCATCTACGTGGGCTTTACCAGGTTGCCAGAAGGGTCCATGGCACAAAAGAAAGTTAAGAATCACTGCTTTAACTAGTCTCCAATCAAAAGATGTTTATTTTTCAATCATTTGCTTTTAGCCCATGCGACAATGAATAACGCTGACACATGCCATTTCGCCCCTGAGGGCAAATATCTCCAGGAAATGGACTCACTGGGTGCAAGGAAAGGTGCATTTGAAATTTTAGTAAGTTTTGCCAAATTGCACTCCCAAGAGTTTAAGGAGCTCGACCCCCTCAGCAGTAAGTGCCCTTTTCCCCACAGCCCTTACTTACATCACCGTGTTTTCAGGCTGATAGGAGGAACAGTGTCACTGCCGCATTTCTCATTATGGTGTGCCTTACTCTATTACCTGTAGAATATTCTAGAGTGTCATCATGCCTTAGTTTATTTAACTAGGCTTCTATTAATAGACACTTAGGTTGTTTTTTGTTTTTGTTTTTTTTCGCTGAGCCATCCTGCCACCTGTTGGCAGCTCAACGGCAGCTTAGCTTGGGCCAAGAATCGAACCGGTGACCCTGTTTCTCAGAGCTCACACTCTTGAGCGAGCTCTTAACCAGCTAGCCACTTGGCCAGCACAACACTTAGGTTGTTTTTATTTTTTTTTTATTATTTTTTTTAAGCTGAGCCATCCTACCACCTGTTGGCAGCTCAGCGGCTGCTCAGCTCAGGCCGGACTTCGAACCACTATTGCTCGGAGCTCAAACTCTTGAGCAATTGTTAACCAACTGAGTCACTCGGCCGGCCCTCACTTAGGTTGTTTTTAAACGTTTATTTTAACTTTAGTTTGAACAAATTTCAAACCTATGGGAGGACTGCAAGATACCTGTATACCTCTCACCTTGATTCAGGTGTTGTATTCAGTGAATATAACACACATACACACATACACACACACACACACACACACACACACACATACATATATGTATGCATGCATGCAAAAATAATATTTGTGTATATTATTTGTTCGCTCAGACATTTTTGCTCAGCCATTTCAGCAGACATAAGTTAGTTGCAGAATTAATAAAAGATTAGGATCATTTACCCTAAATACTTCAGTGCGTATCTCCAAAGACACATTAGTATATAACCATAATAAATGCTCAAATTCAGGGGGGAAAGTTGATAGACTACTAGGATCCAATATACCATCCATATTTAAAACTCACAATAAAGTCCAGCATTTTCTTCCCTGATGCAGGATCCAATCAGGGTCCTATGACACATCTCTCAAAGTCACTTTAATCTGGAACCGTTCCTCTGCTTTTTCTTGTCTTTTATGACCTTGACATTTTTGAAGATTATACAGCAGATGGTTTGTAGAATGTCCTTCCTTTTGGGTTTGTTCTGATGCTTCTTCGTGATTAGATTCAAGTCATACATTTTGGCAGGAATACCTCTGAAGTGATGCCGGGACCTTGTCAGGCATCATGTCAGGAGGCACCTAATGTCAGTTTGTCGTTATCGGTGATGGTGACTTCGATCACCTGGTTCAGGTGGTGTCTGCAAGGTTTCTGCATGGTGTAAAGATGCCTGTATTCCCTCTGTAATTAATCAGTAGCCTGTGGGAAAATACTTGGTGTGGGATATCCTGTTCCCTAACAAACTTTCACCCAAAGGTTTTAGATCCATTCGTTAGTCTTGTCCAGATCAATGACTAGGATGGTTGCAAAAGGATGATTTTTCAACTCTCTCATCTTCTACACTTATTAGTTGGCATTCTGCCATAAAGTACAGATCCCCCTCCCCCTGTATTAGTCAGAGTTTTCCAGAGAAACAATGAATAGGATAGAGATAGCTAGAGATAGAGATATAAGAGGAGATTTATTGTGGGAATTGGCTCATGCACTTATGGATGCTGAGACATCCCACAATATGCCATCTGCAAGCTGGAGAGCCAAAAAAGCCAGTGGTATAATTTAGTCTGAACCAGAAGGCCTGAGAATCGAGGGGCTGATGGTGTATGCCCTAGTCTGAATCCAAAAAGCCCAAGAGTCCAAGAACCTGGAGCCTCTGGGAGAGAGAGAGTGAATTCACCTTTCTCTACCTTTCTGTTTTGCTTGGGCTCTCAGTTGATTGGGTGATGCCCACCCACCCTGGTGAGGGCTATCTGCCTTACTCAGTTTACCAATTCAAGTGTTAACCTCTTCCAGAAACACCTTCACAGACACACCCAGAAATACTGTTGAACCAGCTCTCTGGGCATCCCTCAGCCCATTCAAGTTGACACATAAAATCAACCATCACATTCCCATTAATTAATTAACTTAAAATCTTAAGTATGGATCCCTGCATTCTCTTTTATTTGATATGTTGTTATCTATTCCTGTTGTTATTCATTTTGAAAAGCAGATAGATTGTTTTCAGTTTGGCCACTAGGAGCTCCTCAAACTGTGTCATTTTGGTATGTCTCCATCCCTAACACAACGAAATAGTCCAGGCTTGTCTGGTACTTTCCCTGTTCCAGCCCTGGAGTCAGCCGTGTTCCCAGGAGCCCTGGTTCTTTTCTTGGAAAATGGCAGTACTCAGAACTTTTGCTTCTTGACCGTCAACCGAACGTCTTCCAACAGGCAGCGTCTCGTCCCCTCACGTCCCTGGGAGTAACAAAACAAGAGAACTTTCCTTTCCGGGGTTGGATAGTCCATCCTCGTGATGGGAACTGGAAGTGATGCCTTTTCTTACAGGTAAACCTGGGACCAGACAAGATGGTGGTGGACCTGACGGATCCCAACCGACCACGCTTCACTCTGCAGGAGCTGAGGGATGTGCTCCAGGAGCGTAACAAACTCAAGTCCCAGCTGCTGGTGGTACAGGAAGAGTTGCAGTGTTACAAGAGGTAGGTGGGTTGCCATGGGCTACCATATGTAGTCACCAGCCAGCTTGAGCGGCCAGCAGCCGCTGTCCGTCCAGAAGCCGGCGACTGATCTGTCTCGCCCGGGAAGAGCGCAGTGATGGTGCCAGCTTGGGCCAGTGAAGCAACATCCTCCACAACTAGGCTGAAGGACAAAACGACAGCAACTTGTCTGTTCCCCTTCCCCCAATTCCCCAATAAAAATCTTAAAAAAAAAAAAAAACAAGGATGAAGTGCTGAGGGGATGGGGATGGGGCCTGTTTCAGAGTGGGTGGTCAGGAACCACCCCTCTGAGGTGAATGACAAGAAGCAACCAACCGTGGAAAGATTTGCTAGGGCCCAAGTGGAGCAAGAAGTTCAGAGACCCCGAGGTGGGAACCAGCTGGGCCTGTAGCAGACGCCCAGCATAGTAGAACCTGAAACACAGGTAGAGGACGGTCAGGAAGACCCTGGAGAGCATGCCTTGTTGGCTACAGCAAGGAGCGCTGATGTTTGCAAGTGTTATGAGAAGTCATTGGGAAGTTTTAATCAAGGGAATGGCAAGATCTGATGTACTGTTTTAAACCATCCGTGTGGTGATTCTGATAACTGAACTACTTGGCTATGTCAGAGATCCTTGTTTGGAAATACACAACGAAATACTTAGGAGTGAGGGGGTCACATGTCTCCAATTTACACTCAAGTGGTTCAGAAAGGCGATAGATGCCTGGATGGATGGGTGGATAGATGGATGGATGGATAGATAAACAATGGGGAGATCTGGGTAAAACGTATTTGGGAAGTGTTTGTACCGATCTTTGAAATTATATAAAAATTAAAAGTTATGAAAGATCACAAAATATGTGTAGAGTAGGGGCTGTAGTACCAGGAAGAGAGGAAATAAGGAAGCTGTTGATACATCAGGTTGGGACCTTGCTGTATCCATCCGCCCCGCTGTTTCCCCAAATGGTGTCTTTCATGTAGGTATTTCTTGAAAAGGGGGCTCTGTGGTCGAATCATTCTGGGAAACCCTGTTAAAGCAAATTTCTTCAGAGGCAGAAGAAGGAAAGACCCAGAGAATAAAAACACAGCGCCAGCTATTTTTTTCTCAACGCTTGCCACGTGCCAGGCCCTCTGCTAAGTGTATCCCAAGCATCGTTTCAATTAGTGTCCACAGCAAGCCTCTGAGTTAAGGTGAAGTGACCCCCAAGATGATTTACGGTTCAGACTGGTCACGTCCCTGCCTAAAGTCCACTGCTGGTGGTGGCTGCGGTGACATGTGCCCTCAGAAAAGGCTGCCATCAGAGCCTGTGCTTCCCTTTATCATGCCACATTTGGACTGAATGCTTGGAAGTGAGGACCTGTCCCAATTCAAAACAAAGCCCAAGTGATAATATTCTTTCAGACTTCCAATGGCGCCTCATTAAGAGAGCAGCTACAGCAAAGACGCTCTAGGAAGGCAAATCCAAAAAGGCTGAGTGCTGCCAACAGGAATTTAATTGCCTCCCTTCTGCTGAGGTTGGAAGCCTGTTAATGGACAGACCTGTCTTCATCTCACTTAATCAGTACTGCAGACACAGGTAGTTAAAAACAGGAACTGCTAAATTGCTGATGCCGCGAGCAGCTTGTTAGTGAATAAAAGCAGCACACTTTATTTGCAGTTTTGAATTCCCAGAGAACAACAGATGTGCACTTCCCATCTGGTGCAGGCCGGGTAGACAGACAGCAGGATTCTGTTTAGCCTCTCGTGTTCCGTATTCTGCAGAAACCCGCATGGCAGCCGAGGTGTTCTCTTAGCAACGGCATCAGTGTGGAGGCCGCAGCTCAGACTCACAGTCGTTTTAAACTGAAGGCAGACACAGTAGGCTGTTCCCCCAAACAGCCACAACGGTCCTTCCCATCGTGCATGCCTTTTGCAATGAGACTTTTCCACGCCTCTCTTCAAGAAGTAGAGTCTTTTTTCCCTCTCCTTGAATCTCAGCAGCCCTGTGACTTGCCTTGACCAATGGAATGTGGTCAAAGTGGTGCTGTTTGGCATCCTGGTGTAGGGCTCTCAGAGGCCTTGGGGCTTCTGTCTGTGTGCTCTTGGAACTCTGCCTTGAGACCACCATACTGCGAGGAAGCTCCAGATAGTCACGTGAAAGGCCATGGAAAGAAGGTCGAGGTGCTCCCGCTGGCAGCCCCAGCTGTGCCCAGCCCCCAGCTGACCCAGCAGTGCTTATAGCCGCCTGAGAACCAGCAGGAGAACCAGCCTGCCAACCGTAAGAAACAGAGCCGTCATGAAGAATCACAAATCATCGTGGTTTTACATCGTTGAGTTTTAGGGAGTTATGTAACGATAGTTAATGAAAAGGAATTTTTGGATGATGCATTTTATGAAACAGTATTATTATAATAAAAATAGAAGTAGTATTAAGTAATAAGAGCCCCCTCTTTGCAAAGGAGAGAGAAGGCTGAATTGGGCTCTCTGACACACATTCCTAAAGGGGCGTGTCGGTCAGCTCGGGCTGCCATAACAAAATACCATAGACGGGGTGGCTTAAACAATGGTAACTTGTTTTTTTACAGTTCTGGAGGCTGTGAGTCCAAGGTCAAGGTGTCAGCATGGTTGGTTCTGACTCCTCCTGGCTTATAGACAGCCTCCCTCTGGCTGTGTCCTCACATGATGGGGAGAGAAAGAGAGCAGGCCCTCTGGTGTTTCTTCTTAGAAGGGCGCTGATCCCATCACGAGGGCCCCACCCTTGTCACCTCATCTAATCCTAATTGCCCCCCAGAGGCCCCATCTCCAAACACCATCACAGCTGGGGTTAGGGCTTCAACATATGCATTCTGGGAGGACACGTTTCAGTCCATAGCAAGGAGGAAACACCGCAGGTATACATCTACCAGTAAGCGCTTAATACCTAAGTGGGTCTACATAGCTTACTGGGTCATGCATTGAAATGCTTCATTGTGGTCAGGCTCCTTTTGGTTGCAAGTGACAGAAATCCCATTCAAACCAGTTTAAGCACAAAAGGGAATACACTGGCCCACTGGAATTGCTCTCTGAAATAAAGTAAAAACTGTAGCTGAGGCCTTACAGTTGGCACCAGGGACCTGGTTCCCCATTCTTTCCTCTCTGCTTCTCTTTGTTTGTTGTCCTCATGATCTTGTATTACAGACAGTCCATCTCTGAATCTTAGGAAATATAGCTGCTGGCAGGCCCAGTTGAGCAAGTGAGAGAACTACCGCCTTCTTCCAACTTCTGTACGTCAAGTCCCTGGAAATACTGGCCCTCTTTGCGTCACCTGACCTCAATACCTTGTCAGTCAGTATCAATTTAGCTCTTATCGCCATCTGACTCACCGTATCTATTTTTATTTTACTTATTTGTTTACTGTTTCCTTCCTCACTGGAATATAAATTGCATGAAAGAAGATATTTTGTTTGTTCATTGCGGTATCCACAGTACCCTGGCATAGTAGGTAGCCTAGTAAATGTTTGTTGAATGAATTAGTGCCATGTACTATTAACTCACTTAATCCCTCAGTCCTAGGAGGTAGGTACTCTTATTATGCTCGTTCTGCCAATTAAGAAATCAAGGCTTAAGTTGGAGAATTTATAGTGTCATATTCCTACAAAGTGGAGAAGCTTGAAGTACTCGCCAATGAGATTGGACAAGAGAAAGAAAGGTGTCAACATCCGAAATGCAGAGCAAAGGTGCTCACGATCTGACTAGAGTTTCACTGATAATAATATTAATGCAATGATAATTATTAAGATTCTTCCCTTTCCAGCTGTGCAGAGAAGAGGTCTGCAATACCAACAACCCATCTATTTGTTCCCCCACAGTGGCCTGATTCCACCAAGAGAAGGCCCAGCAGGAAGACGAGAAAAAGACGTTCTGGTCGCCAGGGCCAACAACGCCGGCGGCAACAAGGAGGAGAAGACCATCATAAGGAAGCTGTAAGTCACCCTGCTGTCCCCCCGTTGCCACTCAATAAGTGCTAAAGGAAGGAGTTGGGGTGGCAGGAGGCTGGCCAGCCACCCAGGACGGGGAGGTCCTGCTCTGCTGGTGGTGCTGCAGCTGATAGGAAAACCCAGTGCTGATATGTTCTATCCTCCAGGCAGTAGCCTAGGTACTTGCCAATAATATATTAATTCGTTGACTCGTCACCATGACCCTGTGAGGTCGGAACTGTTACGACCCCATTTCACAAGTGTCCACCAAGAGGTAACGTAATGTAGCCAGGGAAGGTCGCACAGACGGTAAATAGTGAAGTCAGGACTTGAACCCAAGGAAATCCAGAGTCTACACTCCACTGCCTCCCTGTGATATAACAATAACCAAAAAGACAATACGATGACAACCATAAGAAACACAGTAACAGTAATTATTGGCCTTTAAGGGGCTAATGCATCGCCTCTCTTTCCTCCAACTTTGTGTCCCAACGTTGGGACACGCGATCCAGCTTCCTCCGAATACTCCCCTCAAGTTCCCACGCCATCGTGAAGCCCTTGTGTCTTCGGGTGCCGCACAAACCACACGCACGGTGTGGGACACTTGTTTAAATTCAGATTCTTCAAAATCACGTCAGTGGTTCAAGGATGAGGCCTAGAAATCTGGATTTTTAATAAGTCCCCAAGGCTCTTCTGCCGCTGGGAACCCTGGGCCCGCACTCTGAGATGTGCCTTCTCAGGCACCCTTCCTCCACGCCCCCTGGAGCGAACAGCCTTGTCGCTCTGAGAATGTCCGGCCTGGTGACAGGTTGCCATCCCCTGGTCTCTTTGATGGAAACTGAGGAACAGCCTGGGTCAGGGGTTTCAAATTCGAAGGCCTTCTGGGGCCAGACACTTAATGTGGGTGAGTGATGGGGCGAGCAGAGGGGAGGGGGACACTTGCCCCTCAGTTCTTTCCGGCTGAGGGATGATAACATGCTGCCAGAGTTTCTGATTCTTGAGAAAAGCCAAGAAACCAGATTTGTTCATGGAGTTTGATTTCCAAATGCTGGCAGATTTTAAAAACGAAGACTGAACAAGCCAAATGAGCCACCTTTGCAGGCCTCACTGGGTCCTGGGCCGCCAGGCTGCCACCTCTGCTCTAGCTCCGTTCGTCCTACTTCTGAGGGAGAGCTGCTTGGCAGATGACTGAGGGGACCTCCTTTCTTCCATTTATTCGGTCATGGGTCAGTCAACAAACCCTCACTGCATCTGTGCTGTGTGCCAGGGAGCTGTGCTGGGCGCTTGGGACACACCAAGGACTCTGTTGGCCCCCATTTCACATGGAAATATTTTTGAGGGGGTCAGAAATTCTGGGTTACCCTCTTTGGCAGGTTTACGATGCCTTTGTTTCAAGAGAGGATAAAAAAATTTTTTTTTATCTTTTTTTAAATTTTTGGATCTTAGGAACAAGGTTAAGTTAGTGATTCTCAATTCATGGCACAATGACCTTCATGGTCAGCACAAGACCCCTTTCTTCTTGGTTTTTATTTATTCCTTTTTATCCCCACCCCATTCTTCTTCCAGCTCTCCTCCCCACCCCCAGCCATTCTAATACAGGATTCAGTATGTTCTAAAGTGTATGTTGTTTCATGTCGATGTATTTGTAATATGTAACAGATCTTTTGTTTAACACTTCGTTCTGTTTCCTAGTATTGTTTTTTTTTCTCCAAAACTAAGCACTCTTGTTTTTTTCTTATTAGCCACTCCTTTTTTATTTATTTTAGTAATATATTTTATTAACCCAATATATATATCCAAAATAGTATCACTTCACCAAGGGATCACTGCAAAGCATTATTAATGAGATATTTTACATTCTTTCTTTTTGATAATAGAAAGCCCTCAAAGTCTGATGTATATTTGGTACTGATGGCACATTTCAGCCATGTATGTGTCAACAGCTCAGAAGCCACACATAGCTAGCCGCCAGCCCAGTGGACGGCACGGGTTTAGCCAGTACATAATGACATCCTTTTGACTTTAAGAACTGAGTTCAAGTGATTTTTTTTTTTAGTTTTTCTTTTTAATTTTGATAAAATATAGATAACATAAAATTTACAATTTTAACTATTTTTAAGTGTCTAATTCAGCCGCATTGAGTACATTTACAATGTTGTGCAACCATCACCACTATTCATTTCCAGAACTTTTTCATCATCCCATCCTGAAATTCTGTGCTCATTAGACACTAACTCCCCATCTCCCTCCCCCAGCCCCTGGCACCCACCACTCTACTTTCTGTGTCTGTGAATCTGACTCCTCTAGGCACCTCACATAAATGGAATCATGCAGTGTTTGTCCATCTGTGACTGGCTTCGTTCACGTAGCCTAATGTCCTCCGGGTTCATCCATGTTGTAGCCTATGTCAGAATTTCCTTTTTATGGCTGAGTAATATTCCAGTGTGTGGATGGACCACATTTTGTTTATCCATTCATCTGTTGATGGACATCAAGCGGTTTTTAAATCTATCCATATAGCAGTGTAGACATCCAGCTTGCCGCTCCCACCCCAGCATAAGCCCCCTCTCGCTGCGATGGAACCCCCCACTGTAAACAGTGCTGTAGTGAACGTCTTCAGGCCTGCTCATGTCTTCCCATGGACCTGTGTGTGTGTGAATTTCCTGGGATATATACCCAGGAGTGAAATGGTGGGGTCCCGGGGTCTGCCGGCCAGGGTCCTGGCAAAAAATAAATGGCCTATTCAAAAGGAGTGACGGAAGAGATTTAAAGAAGGGCCATTTGACAGATGTGCAAGCAGAGTTAAGAGAACCCTCAAGGGATGGAGAAGCACCCAGGCGGTGGCGACCAAGGGCCGAGGGGAGGGGACCGTGAGGGGAAGAGGGAGAGCCAGAAAGTGGACGGGTAAGGACATGTATTAACAGGACAATTTCAAATAGCCATACGTGCTAAAAGGACCATTAAATAGGGTGCTGAGGGAACGGTTGATGGAAGCTGCTTTAGAGCTGAGGCAGCCTGGAAGGCTTCTATGAGGAGGCAGCATTCAAGCTGAGCCCTGAAGGACCTGAAGGATGCGCACTCCTGACAGAGGGAGCACAGAGTGGAAAGGCCTGAGGCTGGAGAGGCAGGAGGGGTTGAGTCGCTCACAGCCACCAAGTCGATCCCTGTGAGGACTTTGGGCTCCATTGTAAGCGCATTGGGAAGACCCTGGAGGGTCTGAGCTGGGGAGCCACAGGACTGTACTTACATGTGGAAGTTCACCCTGGCTGCTGTGCGGAGGATTGGGGGACAGTCAAAGCAGGGCCATTGGGAGTGTTTCTTCCCCAAGGAAGGGTCTCCTGAGGTAAGAACATGAAAGAGAGTCTCCACCCTGCACCAGGGGTGGATCTGGAGGGGTTTCCTTAGGACTTTCATTGGCTGAGTGTCCCATGGTAAACAAGGCTTCTGGAAGGCATACACTGTGGGTTTCTTTCTGCCTCTGCTAGGGGAGTTCTTTGAGTCACTTAAATGGGATTTGAGCTTGATATGGCAGAAATAAAATGTTTGTTCTGAGCACTAGCCAGCCTGCAGACTCATGTTTAAAGAACATGAGGCCACGATTTCCCGGTCAGATGAGCTTCTTTAGCGAATGAATGAATGAATGAACGAACGAATGAATGGCTTTCTGAAGGAGTCGGTCATGCTGGGAAGGGTTTTTATCTTTGTCCTGCAGACCATGGGAGGGCTTAAGCTGAGGAATGACTTCGTCAGCTCTGCATAGTGATGCGGGCATTCTGGCTGTTACAGGAGTGGATTATGGGGTGACAGGGAGGCTGCTATGGCTTGGATTTGGGGGTGGCAGTGGAGGAGATCAGAAGTGGTGAGACTACGGACCTATTTGGGGCACGGTGACTAAAATATAGCAGAGGAGGGGAGAGAGGAGTTGAGAACAACTCCCGGTTTCCTGGCTTGGACTGGGCGGGGTGATGTCACTTCCGGAGGTAGGGTGGGTGTGGGGGTGGGGAGTGTGTGCAGTTTCAGGGGAGGATAACTGAGCACTGATGCCTGTCTCCAAACACCAGTCAAGGGCTCACCCCCACCATTGCTGACAGAGCTGCTAGCCGCGCTCAGGGGGGTTGTCTTTGACAGGAAGAGCCCAGATCCCCTTCACTGACTGTTCAGACACCGGCCATCTTTGCCTCTTTCTCGTGGCTGGAAAGGGCGCTGAGGTTGTACTTGGTGATGAACCCCAGACATCACTCGTCCCTTTCAAAACTTTGCATATGAGGGGAAAAACACACTGGAAGTTTGGTTTCATGTCTCGGGATATCTCTGTATGTTTTATCTAAGAACTTACATGTTAATCTTTATTTTTGCAAAGATCTGTTTTATAATTTTAGGTGGCACTGAGAAGTTATTGCTTCCTCTATGATAAAACCAGCTAAAATACAAACTAAAATAAGGTGGCAGATTCCATGTGTCGGTGTAGCAGTGGTTAAACGGGCTCTGGGTCCACAACTTAACTGTGTGACGTCGGGCCTGTTACGGAACCTCAGAGACCCTCAGTTTGGTCATCAATAAAATAGGGATATTGGTTGTGCGCACCTCCTGAAGTTATGAGGGTGAAAGGCACTGACAGACGGGAAGCCCCTGAACAGTGCCTGTCTGTCCGTCCGTCCAGAGCCCTGAGTAAATGTTGGAGTCACTGGCCTGCAAGAGCTGCTAACATACTTAGCAGGGGCTCTCATTCTCCCTGTTCCCTCTAACCCCCCTTTCTCTCCACCCAGGTTCTCTTTCCGGTCAGGGAAGCAAACATAGATTGAAGGTGGCAGTTCTGACTCAAGAAGACCACCCACCGAGAAGACTTCCCAGATCATCTCAGTGCCGCCGCAGACACCCTGTACTTGCTCATTTGTTTCCCCTGAAAGCCAGCCCAGGAAGGAGGAAGTGAAGGTCTCTCACGATTGCCTTTTTCCCCTGGCTGCAGAACTGGACACCCCAAAGGCTTGGCTAGGGCAGGGGAAGTGGCTGAGAAATCAAGAAAGCAGAGGGACTGGGCGGAGAGCACAGCTGGGCCACTTCCTGCCCACTTCCGCCGCCCAGAGGGGCCACCAGGGTTCTGCTTCTCTGGTCCCGCAGATGACCTTGGTTTTTACTGGGTAGCAGCAATCACATAAGTCAGCCCAAGGGGAGAGAGGAGAAGAGGGTGCCGGGAAGTATGGTGTTGACATTCCAGCGGTAATTTCGCCGATATTTAGTGACTACCTGATTTTGCTAACATGACTTTCTTTACGTGATTTTATATTAAAGTAAAATGAATTTCATACTTTAAGTATTTTTGTTTTAAAAGATTTTATTGGGGAATTGGGGAAGGGGAACAGCCAAGTTGTTGTCCTTCATCTTAGTTGTGGAGGGTGCAGCTCAATTCCAAGTCCAGTCGCCATCCGGCCGCTGGTCAGCAGCTTGCGGCTGCTCAGATCAAGGTGCCGGGTTCAATCTTAGTTGCGGATGTAACGATACATGGTGACTGAATCCTCAGGACACCCTGCCAGGCAGGTGGGCAGAGACGGTTCCCATGTGATGGACAAGTTTCAGAGAAGTGGTTTGTCCAGGATTGAGATGGCTGACACGCTGAAAGCTGGGCAGAACCTGGATCTTTTGCCTGTAAACCAAGGACTGTATCCAGTCCCAAGCTGCCTCCAGTGCCTGGGGCTAAGGGAACGAACAGCCTATCAAGGGCGGACCCTGGGAATAGGAGGAGGGACTTCCAGCATGAGGCAGGTAGGTTGATGCCTACAGGAGAATCAAGTCTAGTGCGTCAGAAACTGACAATTACAGCAGCTCAAATGTTGGCTTCCTGTATGCCAGGCATCATTCAAAGGGTTCAACAGGCATTAACTTTATCGTCACAAGCACCCTATGACCCCCATTATACAAATGAAGGAACTGTCCCCTAGAAGGACAGTCACCGAAACAAACTGGTGTGTGCCCCTTTTGAAAAATAGAAATCCCAACCTCTTTTATACATCTGCCTTGTAAAAAAAAACAGACACACAGGTGGCCTTGCCTGGCAATAAATATTTAATTTGTTTCATTTTTATGATGACAAATAATTTTCAAGTTTCTTTTTTTTTTTTTTTAAATACAAAGCTAAACCACAAACAGGTACAATCAAG